TACTGTGGCTCCGCAAAGGCTTCAGACATTGGGATCAAACCGACCAAATCGTTGTCAGCATCGGATCCATTGTCACAATTGCGTGGATTTCATTGGGATTGTTAGCGGTATATGATTTGCATATTTACAACTCTATTACATATAAGTTATGCAATTCATTGCAATCAGTAAAGTAAACATGAGATTACATTTTGCAGTAATTCATAACTTGAAACTTACAACAATATTATGATTATTTTGTGATTACAGTGTTTTATAGATCATAAATCTTTATTATTTTTATTTTAATACTAAACTAATGATTATATTTCAGATGCGGTTTGAAAACAAGCCAACAGTTTATGTATTTCTAGCGACGAGTATTTTCGAGCCCATTATTATTATCTGGAATTTAGTCCGAGTAATACTTTCTTATCATATAATTATTGTTTAAAATGAAAAATTAATTTTTTAATCAAATTATTAAATAGTATTCAGAGGGTGTCGACGACGAAGTGTTGGAGTTATCAGTCTATACATCGGGTATAATCGCACTGATTGTTCGCATCACTACTTGTGTTGTTATGATATTTGTTATGTTTAACTTCAATAAAGGACTCAAACATAAAGGTATGCGTGAGTTGTAAATGCATTCGCTTTTATTGATTCAATTGTTTTGTTGAAAACACAATGCCTTTGATTACATTATTTTTAATGATTATTTTGTCGCTATTTTATGAAATGTTTTAGTTTACGGAATCAAAGAAACCATCGATACATCCTCTCAATCACCCACAGAACCAATCGTTACATAATAATTATAATCACAATCTATTTATCCATTTTATATGACAAAATTACACACATTTTAATCCTCTAATTATTTATAATTGTATTTTTAAAATGCAGACAATTTGTGATAAAAATGTATTGATTCTTAAGATATTTTACAATGAGATTTAAACAATTATATTCTTATTAATTATAATGATTTTTATTATTAATTTAAATAATTATTTAATAACTTGTACCCCAAAGAGACATTAATGCATTCAAAACAACGTTATGTTTTCACGTAAATGACTATAAAACTAAAATATTAATTTAATATATGTTTTGTATATAATTATTACAGAAATTAATTTTTCTGTTAAAACTTGTATTCAATTAAAACATAATTAATAAAACAATATAACAATACTATTATCTGATTGTATGAGTGCTTGGATTTGACGCCAAAACCAAACCATTGGCTGCAATGCCAGAGACGACAAACACATTGAGTGAACGCCCACTCAATCGCAGCCAATGATTGGCTCAAAGTTGGGTCAAAACAAACACTAGTTTTTGTTTTTATAACTTTTAAATCATTTTGTTTTTAGTTGTTTTTATCACTCATTTTGTGTCAACATTTATAGCCATCGATGAACACCTGAAGACATGGAACTGAACACCGATGACAATAAAAGCGCTCAAAACATGGCCACCGATGGACGACAGTATACGTTAGCGGATCTCGGCTTAAGAGCGGAACCGCTGGTCAGACAGACACCTATTGGACCCGTAAGTGATCTCTTGTTTTGTTGCCTCCGATTTCATGGTCTGATCCGTTGTTTTTTCCCGATTACTGGCCGACCGATAGACTCGTTCCCTATACTCGCTGTCGGCCTTCGAGTGGATCTATCTGTTGATATCGTTGACAACAGTGGTGTCTGTGTCGGGCATTTGCGTCGACCGTCTTATAGCGCTTCCCAAATCGTCTCAAGACTTTACGTTTGCGTTACTTCTCCTCTGGACCACTGGTTTCTCATTGGTTTACGTGATTCAGGTCTCTGTCCATAACTTTGATTATCAATTGTTATAAACCCTATATTTGTGACAATTATTGTGTTGTTGTAAGAGAATTAGCGGAACCGATACCGGAACAGGTATTCACTGTCTGTCACGCAAACCCCGGGGTAACCAATGGGAGGGCTTTTGAGATGATTACAAATTAACCCTCTTTTAAAACAATATAGTGTTTTCAATCGCCTAATGATATGCAGAGTTTCCCTATAATTACGAACGCATTGATAATAGTTATCAATTGTTTATATTTTATGACTAATTGTATATGAATTTGATTGAGACATATGTAGGGAGTGGTGAGAGAGCGTGTGCTCGAGTTGTTGGCATTTGTGGCCACGATTTGCATACTTATGCTGTACGTGATTATCAACTACTGTGCCTCTCAATCGCCCTCCACTCTCAAGATTGTAAGTCATTTCGGCGTTTCATTTCAATGGCATTTCATAGGAAACCATTGCTATTGAACCACAGGTGCGCCTAACGATAACGTGTGTGTTCGGGCCGATACTCATACTGACGGGCCTTATATATGTGCGAAAGTATTGGCAGTCCAAAAGTCTCATCTATCGGACGGTCGGCGCCAACATTAAGATGCAAAACATGTGCGAAACACTGTTTATAGCCCAGAGTTTGCTTATATTTGATGTACAATTGAGCGCTTCTTCGCTCATACTATGGCTAAGGAATGGTATTGAGTATTGGACTTCGACCGAGATTATTGTAGTCAGTGCTGGAACTGCTATTACAATACTTTGGACATTTATCGGATTGTNACACTTCGTCGTCGACACCCTCTGAATACTATTTAATAATTTGATTAAAAATTAATTTTTCATTTTAAACAATAAATTCTATGATAAGAAATGATTACTCGGACTAAATTCCAGATAATAATAATGGGCTCGAAAATACTCGTCGCTAGAAATACATAAACTGTTGGCTTGTTTTCAAACCGCATCTGAAATACAATAATTAGTTTAGTATTAAAATAAAAATAATAAAGATTTATGATCTATAAAACACTGTAATCACAACATAATCATAACATTGTTTAAAGCTTCAAGTTATGAATTACTGCAAATGTAATCTCATGTTTACTTTACTGATTGCAATGAATTGCATAACTTATATGTAATAAATTAAGTTATAAATATGCAAATCATATACCGCTAACAATCCCAATGAAATCCACGCAATTGTGACAATGGATCCGATGCTGACAACGATTTGGTCGGTTTGATCCCAATGTCTGAAGCCTTTGCGGAGCCACAGTATGAGCGAAGAACCGGCTAATTGTACGTCAAATTTCAACAGACTTTGAGCGGCGAATAGTATTTCGCAGATCCGTTGCATCTCAGCGTTGGCGCCGACGGTCCGGAAAATCAAATTTTTGGACCGAAGGTATCTCATAGTAAATACAATGCCTCCCACTATCAGTATGGGTGCGAATAGACATGTGATCGTCAAACGCGCCTTCAATTGTAGTGCAATCAAAGCAATTGAATTGAATTTAGATTTTTGTGATAAACAAACAATTGGATTACAAAATACATACAATTTTAATGCTGTTGTGCGACTGATTGGCAGAATAGTTGAATATAACGTATACTAAAACAATGGTAATCGTGGCCACAAATGCTATCAACTCGAAGGCACGCTCTCTAAACACTCCCTAAGAGTTACAAATCAATGGTTAAGCAAAATATTAACATAAATCTAATTAAATTGCATTCATTTGTATTGATTTCCTGTGTATTTCTTGGAAAAATTATTTAAATTTTTGCATAATCTGTAAACTTTCTATAATTGATATTCAATTTGCATATCAATAAAACTCTGTTTGGCGTTCACTATACAGTATAGAGTACTCTATTATATCATATCTCTTAAAATCTAATTGAATTAAATCCTTGAAATCAAATATTAATTCAATGACTAATCAAACAATTTTATAACTTTTCAATATAAATATAAACCCTAAACGGATGCAGAAAAAAAGTAATTATAAGATTCATTATAAGAAATATTGTGTTCAATATTGTTTTCAAAGCAATTAATTAAACATTACTTGTATCTAAAATTATGTTTTTTGTGACTAATGCATCCGTGTTTAGGGTCTGTATTTATAATCACGAAAATCATATAAAATTAATTAATAACTTAGTAATCAATGATAAGAAAATGTGTGGGTTGTGGGACACGAGTGGCCACTAAGACATCATTGTATGAGATATAAGATAATGTATGGCATAAACACCTGAATCACGTAAACAAAACAGAAACACGTGGTCCAGAAGAGTAGGAATGCGAACGTGAAGTCCGGATCAGCTGATGGCAGAGCGATGAGACGGTCAATGGTTATGCCCATCAGTATCACCAAAGTTATCATCGATAGTATCCAATAGATCCACTCGTATGTCGACAATGTATACAACGAACGCGTCTATTATATGGACACAAAGACACACAATTGGGTTAAAACACATCTCAAGACAAACACATTATCACAACGACGGTCAGACCCGTCGACAGTGTGGCTAATCATCACTTACGGGACCAATGAATGTGTGTTGCGTTTGCGGTGCGGCTCTTAGGCCGAGATCTTCGATGGTGTAGACGTGATCACCGCCGATGGCTGTGGCCTCGGCTGTAGTGGTGGTGACCATCGACGGCCCCTCCAAGTGGTGGTCACCAGTGGTTCTCATCGCTTAAACTGGTCGTCGCTGTGGTTGTGGTTCAATGTGTTGACACTCGACGAGTGATAAACACATAATAATTGCAGACAATGTGTGCGAAGAAGTGATTATCAGTTAATGAATGGTTTGTTGTATTAATTGATTCAATGGATTGAATGGAGTGTTTGTTTTGCAGACAATTTGTGTAATAGTTATGAATGAATGCAATCATTGGGTAAACCATTGAATGGGCGTTCAGTTCAATACACATGTTGTTGTTGTTTATGGTTTCCATGGCATCCATACCCCTATCACTCACTCTCATTGGTCCACACGTTTTGACCGCTATTTATGAATTAGTTGACTGAATTGTGTTGTATTGGATTAGTTAATAAATGATCACTTTGTATGCAGTACAGTATGATTAGGGTAATTGTGATTTAGATGTTAATTAATATACAGCATAAATTCAATCTAAATTTATTTATCTCTTTATTTATGTAAATGATTATGAAATTAACTAAAAACGAGATAATTTATATGACATAAGAGATTATTTGTTTCGTTATTAATAACTTGAAAATAAAAATATTTAAAAATAACTAATTATTTATGTTTAACTATACATAAAAATATACAAAATACTTAACGAAACAATTAAAATGCAGTAAAAATACAATTATATGATAAAAAGGTAGAGTAGTATCACATTTACTTTATGAACATCACAGTTAGTCCACTTTATTGGTGAGCTTTACGAAAGACGGCAAACGTTTATAGGTTTCCGATACGAAGGTCGACGGCAACAGATAATACTCGTCCACCATCTTTGAGTCCACTTTGCGATACAGAGTATCTCTCGGCCAGAACTCACGCCAC